AGTAAATTTCTGTAAAAACATCATTTTTATTCAAAAGTGGAACCTATTTTTACCATTTAATTCGACAACTTTTATAACCCTTTTCCAATTAGGAAAATGGGTTTGTCCTCCAGACAACAACGATGACGAAAAACGTATATACTATATATATATATATATATATATATATATACGTTTTCTCTGACGATATAATTTCTTCCAACAATATCTCACACACACTTGCCCACGTGTTTCGAGTTTAGTTGCTTTGGCAGGGCTCACGACAGGGAGATTGACTTATTTCCGAACGCTGGCGTCATTGGTGGACCGATAGGAATTACGACAGTGTGTATAGGTTTCATGTGATCAGGATTGTAAAACTTATGGGAGGAAGGATGCCGCTTAAAAATACATCTCGGACGAATCGTTTGTTCGTAGTGAGTAACAATCAAATTCATCCACCTCTTCTATTCCTATAATTCTTCGAAGATAGAAATACCAATTTTATTCGAGTTTATTTCTTTCTCCTTCTATTTATTCTTTTTTTTTTTTGGTTGCTCTTCGTTCAAATGTTAACATTGTTTTTCTTTTCCTTTTTTAATCATGCTCGAAATTTGTTTAAATCCAATTCCAATTCTAAGGTGAGATCTTCGAACAACAGAGTGACTTTACGAGCTTTCTTCTTCTTCTTCTTCTTCTAGTTTGTTTAGCCTTTTTTTTCTACCTCCCTTCAACCCACCCCAAAAAATTACCGTAAGTAAATGAGAAATAAATCATTCGAGCTAACTGCACGCATTCATGTAATACGAATATACATAGATATATATTATTATATTGTATATATGTATATATTATATATTCATGTATATACATATTTGTCTAGCTAGCTGGTTAACACTTCCATCAAAAGGTATACACCAACTGTCACTTATCGATGATATCCTATCGTTCATTATTAACAGGAGGGAGTGGGGAAACGAAACGGTGACAGTGTAATATTAATGAAAATAATTAATTATAACGCGACAAAAAAAAAAAAAAAAGGGCCAACTTTCTTTTTAATATTGATTTTCTTCCTAACGAACAGAGACAACGTTCTACATTTTACCAATTTATTTTTTTTTCCCCTGTACTTTTCTTTATAATATATTTTAAAAAAATATTTTTCATTTTTTATATATACACATATATGTGATATGTTATATTTTTTAATATTATTGATATCGACGTTGTTTACAAGGATATAAAAATATATATATATAATTGCTTTTTAAAAATAATAGTTAGAAATAATAATTTTGTAAAAATTCGCCATTCTGTTTCGTAGCATCATGTTTCACGACCACTCATCCAAATGAAAATAATAGCTGCGACCGGTTGTGGCATTTAGAACGAAGAAGATCACTATCGCCGCATATTCGCGGTGGTCGCGTTTCCGCGTTCTATTTTCACCTGCGAGCTTCGAAGGCCGCAAAATTTCGCGCGTTAAAATTCATCTCTCGTAATATTTATTTGTTAAAGAATCAACAAAATAAAAAGAACAAAAATCTACAATGATTCGTAAGGAATGTGTTCTATTTTGTTTCATCGACGTCTATTAGAAATTCATTTTAATTTTCATTTTATTTCGACGAAATGTAATATTGTTTAACTATTATTTATAGGAGTAGTGTGTGTGTGTGTGTGTGTGTGTGTGTGTGTACGATAAAAATTTCTGAACAAAAACATTACTTAGAATAATTTTATTTCTTGCTTATTTAATATGCGTATATACAAGGAAAATAATTAATTGTCTCGTTGTGTTGTGTCAAGATAAATTAAAAAACTTTCATATAATTTTATCTGTGTATATGTGTGACGCTTTAAAAATTACAACAAAACATAATTTTTACTCGGAAATATACCATATGCACTATTCTGTACATTGAAAATACATTCATACATGTATGATGCTTTTTCATGCTTAGTTCTCTCCTATCGAGTGCTTTAAAAAAATATATATATATGCATATATCCGTGATATTTGTTTGAATAATTAACATATCAAAAATATTCGTAATATTTCGTGTATCTTTCTTTTTAATATTTTTACTTTTTCACACATAAAGGAAAAACATCGTAAAACTATTTACCTTTATTATTATTATAAGTCTCAACCTGTATTATCGATTAGTTTAATAGCAATTTCGAAGGTTACTGCATATGTAATATATTGAATGACTCAAGAGATCTATTCAAAACCATTATATACGGAAATGCAACGATGACACGTGAATACGTAATATAAGTATTGTTGTATAACACACACATATAGCATAATAATTTTTTATTAAATATTTATACGAGAATATTTTTTCTCTTTTTCAAATTATTATTCACAAATAATTAGTATGAGTGTGTAAGATAATACCACGCATACACGTAACATAAATATATAAATATATATACTTATAAATAAATAGACATAAATTACTTAGAAATAAGCTTTTATTAAGGTCTCAAGTTCCAAGCTTACGTAATTAGGGAATAATCATCATCCTAAGTTTTTGATGTATGCACATTTTAGGCTCCAGCTCGTTCAATGCAACTACCTGGCAGGGGGAACCCCCGGGTTCCCAGTCCCGGTCCGTTGCGACCATATACACCACCAGATCTCTCATCCATCCCTCACATGGATGGAACCTCACCCCACAACAGCAGCAATTTAATCCGTAACAACCCTTCTTTGTCGTCACCAACTACGAGTAACAACACACGTATTACTGATGAAGCCCCAAAGGACAATCAACCTAACCAATCTACCGGACCCTATATCATAGGTAGTCCGATCGATTTAGGAAATATCGATAACGTTGATAATATCGGCCTTCGTCTGGATCCTCTTTTACGTCACAGTGGAAGAGGCAAGACTCGGGAACACATCGAATTACAGGAAACACCTGGATCCGAGTTTAACTCCGAAGGTATTCTCATTATTCATTTTTATTTATTACTTACTTTCCGTCTATTTCATACGAAACAATAATAATGGTAATAATAACTGGGTATGTAAATAACTGTATTGTAGTTTTATTAGTTTAATCGATTACTATTGTTACTACTTTTATTTTTTTTTTTTTTTTACAGATCTTATAGAGGAAATTGTTAAATGTAATTGATAGGGGGAAAGAGATTTGATTTATTTCTTATTTCACATTGGTTATCTATTTTGTTTGTTTTTCTTTTTTATGGTATTAAAAAGTCAATGAATATAAAATATTATTTTGTTCTGTTATTGACTCAGCTTGTTATAATGTTAACTTATCGAAGTGAAATTCCTATCACATAAATGTGTTTCAAATATTTTATATCATATATATTCTTAAAAAGAATATAGTGATAAAAAAAAGAAATGGAAATGTGTGTTTCGTACGGAATAGACTAGTTTATTAAGGTCATTGATAGACGTGACGTTATATACCAAAGATTATTATCGTTTGCATCTTTTAGATAGAATGCAAGCCTTTAATGCGCATCTATGTTACGCCTACGACAGGTAGATATCTTTGATGTTGAATAACAATTTGAACAATTTCAAGGATATATTGTAATTCATTTGCAATCGTAATAATAATACGATTATTTTGCAAAAATGTGAAGAATGAAATATATTTAAAATGTTTGTTTAGTTACTTATAATATATTCATTATGTTCGAGTTATTTTAACGGAACAACGAAATGTAATAATATCGAAATTGTTTGCTTTTCTTTTTTTTTATTGACTATGCTTTATGAATTTTAATCGTTAGATCGAAAAAAAGAAATGGATTTAAAGAGCAACCGGGCACGGTATTGTTAGCTCGTTAAACCTACACTTGTTGAACGAAAGACGATCGATTCTTTTGTATGATGTATACATATGTATACAAAAATAATGGGCCTGTCGAATGGGAAGCATGATTGCACGCGATAATTGCAAGATTTCCTGGTAATCCAAGATAATCATTAATTACGTACGAGTAGTTTTTCTCGAGATAAGCAATTACGAGTAGTTATTTACAGGATCCAAGAACATTTTTTAACTTATAATTAGTACTTTGTAATACTACCTTTTAACGATTAATTTATTATTGATAACAACTCTTGTGTTAATTGACGCATAATTTGGTTTTATGCAATTTTTATTTAATATATGCGGTAGAATAATACATATATCGGTAATTTGACTGTTTATATTAATAATAAATCAATTCGATCATGATATTTATTTTATCATAATAAATTAATATTTAATGTTATTTTAATTATACGATCTTTCGTGAATTTGATATTCCTGGACTAATTGATTTCAAGGCTCCCGCGCATACAGTCGACGCTTGGAAGCAACGTGTCCTTGGCCTATCGGTTTTGGGCATTCGTTGCTTGTGTGTTTATCGACGTCATATTCCTCGCCACACGCTCTCTGCATACATATATATTATTTTAAATGCAATAGTGTAAGTAAAACTGTAGGGGAAGGGGTAAAAGCCCGGTGCTGACACCAACTTGTTGCCTTTATCGAGCGCATGCGCGTTCGTTAATCCGCAGGGCTGGCTCATCTTCACGGTAATCCCGTATACATTATATTAATCGTAGAAAATGTCATAATCGATTAATCACAGTATACGATAATAAATACCTCCTTCTCTCATTATCGTCTTTCTCCTATTTCATCTTGTTTACTCTATTCTTCGAAATAATAATTTATTTAACGTTGGTAAACGTGAGAAAGATCGACCAATCACGTTACGCGTTTTATTCGAAAAGTATCTCCTATACGATTATATATTATCAATGCATAAAATATTTCGCATTTCTAATTGGTCGTTCGAATTAATTAATCACCAATTAAAATCAACGACAAATTATTCCTCCAATCGTTTGATTTTAATAGAGGGCACTTTGATAAAGATGTACAGGTATGTGTCGCGTTCGTATCGTCGTTGCGGTGTTCATTCTATATGATGCATAAACCGTGACTATGAAGAGTGGAGGAGGAGGAGGTGGAGGAGGAAGAGGAAGAGGAAACGTTCGAGCAGTCTTGACAGAAACGGGAGGCGGCAATCTCGTGCATTTTTATTATCTAACGTATTCGATATTATAATCTTGAGAAGTTTAATCACGTATGACAAATTAATTTAATTATTCGAGCCTCGTCGTTTAATCGGACATTTTCTCTCTTCCTTCCTTCCTTTCTTCCTTCCTTCCTTCCACTTTCACCCCTTCCCTTCATTCCCTCTCTCTCTCTCTCTCTCTCTCTCGTTTAGCAAATCTTTTGGGGAGTTTAATAGTGCGTGATGCACGTGCACGCGTGTACGTCGGGTCATCATGCGAACGGGGCTGTGTGATATCATCGAGTTATCCAAGTTTTTTTCTTCCGGTTACTATTAGATAAGACGTAGACCGATTATCATTTTGTTGTGATGTGTGTAATAAATTATCCAGTCATATATATTATATAGTCATAATAATTATCCTCTGTGGGAGGTAGAGAAATATATAGATAGATAGATAGATAGAAAGAGAGAGAGAGAGAGTGTGACTGAGTGAGGCAAGTGCATTAGTGTGCATCCAACGTGGGTGTGTGTGTTTGTGAAGCACGAAGAGGAGTACTCTGCCACTTTCCAAGCGAGGCCGTGACCGTGAAGCAGAACGAAAGGTTTGAGATCGATCGTAAGATTTCGACGAGTTTCTAAACCCTTTTCTAATTTTCTCGATATTATTTGACTTCAATGTTAATGGTTATTGTCATTTAAATTGTTTTTTTTTCTTCCTTCCTAATTTTTGTATCTATGCATATTCGAATGATGTTAAATACTACTTCGTTTAATGTATCTTGATTTCGAAACGAAATAATACTCGTATTCGATAGAAACTTCATTAACAATACTTCGTTTAACGTTTCATGTAATGAATATTAATTAGATTTAATTTTATTAATAATATTTCGATCGAATAAATAATTTCAATTGCTCGTTTGAATATCAAAGTATTAATTAAAACGTTACTGTATCCAATTATCAAATAGATATATAGTGGTTGTATGAATAGTAATCGGTGTTGTGGTGGTGGTGGTATTTTCAAAGGAAATGTGTTATCAAAGAGTATATGTAAGTTCTAAAGATATATACAAAATAATATGCAGTTTCGTAATATGTTTTATCAACAGAAATATACGAAGATCGTATTTCGCGAGTATAATTTAATGTTCTTTTAAATGAATAATGGCGTCATTTGAAAAGTAAGTACGTCAGAGTCTCTTTGGCGGCATCGTTTATATACGCTCGGTTAATTTGATTTCGGGATGATTTTCTCCGACAATTCAAAACGTCATCGGTTCCGATCTCTTATGTTATTAGATGAACGTTTATCTTATCTCCGTGCTCGATGATCATTCGTGTCCAAGCAAATGACACGCGTTCGAATTAGGACGACAGGAGTAAATTGCAGTTAATCTTCCTTGCGTGCATGCGTGCGTGCATGCATGGGGATGATATATTTGTGTTCCGTTGGTAAGAAGATGTAAGGGGTTGATAGAAACAAAATAAGAATTTTCTTTTAAAATGTAATGTCCTTATCGAGTTGTTATTAATCGTATTTGACAAGTAAATGTTGATAAGCTTATAAAAGGGTGTTATTAGCGACCACGCCTTTCTCAGGAATGCAAATTATTCTACGAAGTATATAGTCTCTGAGTATATAAGGGATGTATGTGTATGCTTGTTGTGTCTCTGTGGAGTAATGCGACCTTGGATCGATCGTAGAGGCATTCCAAATTGCTAGATATATCGTAGCTCGTTTTACTTCATATATAATATATCTAGTAGTATATATATATATACATAGATAATAGTATTTAAAATCCAGATTTTCTCTTTGATCGTAAATATCGTATATATATATATATAATAGTATTTGAAATACAGATTTTCTCTCCGATCGTAAATTTTTTATTCGCATATTTTATAATACAATAATAAAAGGATTTCAAAGTTTGCCGCGTAATATATCGAAATCATTCGCTTATCTATCGAAATATCGATTATCGATTTATAAAAATCGATGATCCTCGCGAAGTAAGCTGAAACGTTACGACCAATCAGATTTCGCGTTAGTAAATACTACGGTTAGTTATTACAAGTTTGAATTGTGTTAGAAGTTAAAAAAATCGCGCTGTGAAATAAAACATAAAGTGTCATATTGTTTGTCGATAATCTTGCAATGTTATTTTCCCGTTTAGAAGATATAAGATTATCGTTAAAAAAATATATCATATTTCTTGTTTGTCGTGTTTATCGGTACAAGATACAGTAATCATCAAATCTCCATTATCAGGTTTGAATTTGTAATCCGATGATGTTTGGTTAGTTTTTCTTGTGAAATAGATGAGAAAATAAGAGAGAAAAAAATAGAAAAAAAATAAAGTAATAGAACATTTTTTAGTTCATCAAGATACATTTCAAGTGATTTACGTTTGTTTGATGTAATCGCTTATCAAGAAAATTGACTTCTTGTTACATATTAAAAGAGAGAGAGAGAGAGAGAGAGAAAGAAAGAAAGAAACAGCACATTTACTACATCGAATTTATTTTTATTCGTAAGTCTTTGCTCTCGAACACTATTGCATTTTATGCGTGTAGAGATCGAATCAAGGAACGAGAAGGATGCTGTGAGAGAGACAAATAACCGGCCGTCATGGATATTACGAGTACAAAGCTGGTGCAATGGTTCAACGAACTCAGATCTCGTATATACCTTTACTTGCACGATCAGAACAGTAAGTCGTACTTAATTATGCGATTGGAAAGACAAGTTTTAATTGAATCCCAATTGAACATTTATAGAAGCATGTCTTTATTATCAAATCATTTTGCAGAAATATTTTACTGTTTGTTTTACCAGTCCAAAAAAATGTATTCAATTCAGTTATTAATTAATGTATACAATTTTTGTTTTTCTAATAGTTTTAATGATAGTCTTTTTGTTTTTGCGAATTTTCTTGTATAACCGTGTATATATATATTCAACGTGAAAATGTGTGAACCTATGCAATTGCCACTTATATTGTTAACGAGAGAAAATGATATACGTTACGGTAAAAGAATAATAATAATAAAAAAGAAAAAAGAACATGGTAGAAATTGCTCTAATGTGTGACGATGATAAATTGGATAATCTACTTGTCGTACGGCTTTAATCAATTTGTTTCTAAATACATAAATATATATTTTATCCGTTTCCTCTTCTTTGTATATACGAGTAAGATATTAATAATAATTATTTATAACAGTAGGGCCAATAAGGGCGGAGAATGGGGAATCACAAGGTGAAGATCCATCCTCTCATCAATACGATGATGGCGACGAAAGAGTGGTTTTCGTCAATGCACCTCATCAACCAGTTAAATATAAAAATAATCACATCACCACGGCCAAATATTCTATCCTTTCTTTCATACCCATGTTCCTTTTCGAACAATTTCGTCGATACAGTAATTGTTTCTTCCTCTTCATCGCAATTATGCAGGTAAAGATACTTGTAAAAATATATTATATGACCTTTGATAATTAACCATTAGTAAAAATGACAAAGTTAATTATTGGAATTAGATAATATTGCTTGACGTTCCACGTATGTTAATTTTTTTGTAATTTTATTTGACCTATTTATTTATAAAATTAACTATATTTCTCTTGTTAACGAATATTAAACACATCAATTATATTCTTATTGTTAATTGACGCGTTGTTATTAATACGAATACTTGCTTAGTGTAATAAGTTTATCATATGATAAGTATTAAAAACGCGATCAATGAAATATACTTATTTATAATCTTCTTCATGTTGCAGCAAATACCGGATGTATCGCCAACCGGACGTTATACAACTTTGGTCCCATTGATATTCATTTTGAGTGTTTCGGCATTAAAGGAAATCGTTGAAGATATTGTATGTTTATCGATTATTTTTATAATCATTCTAATAACATAGATTTTGATTTTGTTATGAATTATAAATGATTGATTTTTGTTGTTGTATAGAAAAGGCATAGAGCAGATGACGAGATTAATATGCGAGAAGTAGAAGTTTTACGGGACGGACGATGGCAATGGATTCAATGGCGTAACATTGCCGTCGGAGATGTGGTTAAGGTTGACCCTTATTTGCATCAAGATTATCATTGCGATAATGAACGTTAAATAGCATCTTCCTGCTGAAACCTTTTTTTTTTTTTCCTTTTATTATGCATAGGTCCATAACAACAATTTCTTCCCCGCTGATTTGATCTTGTTATCGTCGTCAGAGCCGCAGGGTATGTCGTTCATAGAAACAGCCAATTTGGATGGAGAAACGAATTTGAAAATTAGACAAGCTCATACCGACACAGCAATCCTTTTGGATACAGTCGAGTTAATGAATTTTCGTGCTAATGTACAATGCGAACCACCTAATAGACACTTATACGAATTCCACGGAGTCCTTCGAGAAACTAACAAACAGTAAGCTTTATTTTTATAACCAAATATGTTGTTTTTTTTTTATAGCATAATATCAAACAAGTTACGATTTTTATTTGATTTTTGTATTTACAGGAGCGTAGCTCTGGGACCTGATCAATTATTACTCCGCGGGGCTATGTTAAGAAATACAAGATGGATATTTGGTGTGGTAATATACACCGGTCATGATACTAAACTTATGCAAAATAATACAACAACTGCACCATTGAAAAGATCTACATTAGATCGACTGACTAATACACAAATTCTTATGCTATTCTTTATGTTACTTTTGTTGTGCCTTCTTTCTGCAATATTCAATGTTATATGGACGAATGCAAATAGTACAGGACTTTGGTATTTGGGTTTAAACGGTAAATATGAAAGCCTGTCAATATTTATTTTGTGAATTTATATAAATTTATGTTTATATATATATGTTTCAGAGGAGATGACGAAGAACTTCATTTTCAATCTTCTAACATTCATCATACTCTTCAATAACTTAATTCCAATCTCACTGCAAGTTACATTAGAAGTAGTTAGATTTGTGCAAGCTACGTTTATTAACATGGATATTGAAATGTATCATGCTGAATCGGATACACCTGCAATGGCTCGCACAAGTAATCTTAACGAGGAACTTGGAATGGTTAATTATGTGTTCACTGATAAAACTGGTACACTTACGAGAAACGTTATGGAATTTAAAAGATGTTCCGTCGGTGGCAAATTATACGAGTGAGTTCTCGAAAGAAATTTTATTGTTTTCTCTTAGAATTTATTTTGACTAACAATATTTTATTATTAATATTTACACAAGAAACGATTCCACAGCCTTCCCAATCCATCAAACGGTAATATCGATAGTCCAGGTGGTAGTAATAGTGAATTAGTTAAAGATATTCTTGAAGGAAGGGCAACCAAAGGTTCATCTCGTCCTACCGATAGAAAGAAATATAATCATGCTTCTATACTGCATGATTTCATGATAATGTTGTCAGTTTGTCATACAGTCATTCCTGAAAAAATAGATGACAATATAATTTATCATGCAGCATCTCCAGGTATCTTATACTTTTATATATTAATCATAGAAAATAATAATCTAATTTAATATTAACAGTCTTTTCGTAATATATATTTTTCTAGATGAACGAGCACTAGTTGATGGCGCACGTAAATATAATTATGTGTTCGATACTAGAACACCTGCTTACGTGGAAATAATCGCCTTAGGTGAAAGATTAAGATATGAAATATTAAACGTAATAGAATTTACGTCAGCTAGAAAAAGAATGTCTGTAATAGTTAAAACGCCAACAGGAGAGATTAAACTTTTATGTAAGGGAGCTGATTCTGTAATTTATGAACGATTGAATCCAAAATCACCGGATGATACCGAATCAGAAGATGATTTTCGCGAAGCAACTTTGGAACATTTAGAAACGTTTGCAACCGATGGATTAAGAACTCTTTGTTTTGCTTCTACCGAAGTACCTGAAAATTTGTATCAGGTAAATTGTGACGTTTGTTTTTCAACTAAAAGTTCGATTGTATTTTAATGTTGAATAATATTTTGTAATATATATTTTAACAGAGATGGCGTGACACTTATCATAATGCATCAATCAGCATGACAAATCGTGAAAGTAAACTCGATCATGCAGCAGATCTCATTGAAAACAATTTAACTTTATTAGGAGCAACAGCTATTGAAGATCAATTACAAGATGAAGTAAGTCTTGATTTTCTCGATATCTACATTTATTCCTTTCTTATATATATCAAGATTTAATTTCTATACGATATCGTTTAGGTTCCAGAAACAATACAGGCTTTACTTCGCGCTGATATTAATGTTTGGGTGTTGACTGGTGATAAGCAAGAAACGGCAATCAATATTGGCTATTCTTGCAGATTAATCACACATGGAATGCCTTTGTATATCATCAATGAATCCTCTTTAGATGTAAATAAGTTTATAATAGATTTTAAAGAGGGTTATAGAAAGTTTTGAAAAATATAAATGATTTTAATTAGTAATAATTATTTTGCAGAAAACAAGAGAAGTTATTACACAACGCTGCCAAGATTTTGGAATTGATTTGAAACGACAGAATGAAGTGGCTTTGATAATAGATGGCAATACTTTGGACTTTGCCTTGTCGTGCGATATTAGAATGGATTTTTTAGATTTATGTTCGGCATGCAAGGTAGTTATTTGTTGCAGAGTTTCGCCGATGCAAAAAGCCGAGGTGATTTGATTATTTTTGTTAATTAAATAATAGAGGGTGCGATTTAATTATAAATCAGTTATAACATATAAAGTTTTGATTATTAATATATCAGAGTTTTATAGGTTGTTGATCTCATAACAAGTAATAAGAAAGCTGTTACTCTTGCAATTGGAGATGGCGCGAATGATGTAGCAATGATTCAGAAAGCTCACATAGGCGTTGGTGTGTAGACAAAAATATAAAGTATACATTCTTATTATAATTAATAAGATAAACAAAATCTTTCTGAATGAATAAATATTTTCAAATTAGGAATATCTGGTGTGGAAGGTCTACAAGCAGCCTGTGCATCCGATTATTCTATCGCACAATTTCGTTTTCTGAAACGTTTATTATTCGTTCATGGTTCTTGGAATTATAGTAGAATGTGTAAATTAATTCTATATTCGTTTTATAAAAATATATGTTTATATGTGATTGAATTATGGTTCGCGATATATTCTGGCTGGTCCGGACAAATTCTTTTTGAGAGATGGTCTATTGGTCTTTATAATGTTGTAAGTTTCATATATGTGACGATATAGTTATTATTTATTAACATTTGTAATGGATGTTATATTAAGATTTGCAATATTTAATTATAGGTATTTACGGCAGCACCTCCTTTGGCTATGGGTCTTTTTGATAAAGTTTGTTCAGCAGAAACTCATTTAGCTCATCCAGGATTGTATGCAACAAAAAATACTGGGGAGTCGTCATTTAATATTAAAGTATGTATTCATTTTATTGAATATATGGGGTCTTCTAACGTTTGATTGTAAGACATTATTTTTATATTTCATAGGTGTTTTGGGTATGGATAATAAATGCCTTAATTCATTCATCTTTACTTTATTGGTTGCCACTCATGGCTCTTAAACAAGACGTCGTATGGTCTCATGGTAAAGATGGTGGCTACCTTTTGTTAGGAAATTTTGTTTATACTGTAAGTATAAATAAATGATGTCAATCTTAATGGTTATTTATAAGAAAAATTAATTTTATTCGTTAGTATGTTGTAGTAACAGTTTGCGGAAAGGCCGGATTAATAATAAATTCTTGGACATGGGTCACTCATGCAGCAACGTGGGGATCTATTATACTTTGGTTCTTATTTATTCTAATTTACAGGTAAACTTCTATTTATCTAATTTATTTCAAAAGATAATGAAAATAGATAATATTTTAATATCACAATTTTGTTTTTAGTAATTTTTGGCCTGTATTAAATGTTGGAGCTGTCATGCTGGGCAATGACAGAATGTTATTCACTTCGCCTGTATTTTGGTTAGGTCTTATACTTATTCCATCAGCAGTATTGCTTCTTGATGTTACTGTAAAAGCGTGAGTAAAAAAATTGCCAAAATCATTTGTACGGTCTATAATTTTATATATAAAAGAATAAAAAAATAATGATTCATTTATAACATAAGAGATTATTTTGTTTTTATAGAGTAAAGAATACAGTGTGGAAATCAGTCACAGCAGCAGCTAGAGAAAATGAAATTAGAAAATCCGATCCTGGAGATATATTCAATGGTCAAGATTACAGGAGTTCGTAAGTATATATATATATATAAATATAATTTAACGAAAATTATTTGTATAATATAAATTTGAGCGTCTTTGATACAAGTGAATCATTATATATATATAGAGTATATATCAATATTTTTTTAAGAAAATAAGATGACACATCAATCATTTTAAAAAGGAAATACTGATAGTTAAACATATCATCTGCTCTCATCTTATCAATATGTTATCCATATGTTTAGTTTTTTTTTGTGTTAGAATGATACCTGTTCATAGCTAGTATATTTTTGTTTTGTTTACAAATACCATTGCAGAAAGACATTCCAGTTATAAAAGTAAATTGCATGCAATGCAGCAGTATAATTAGATAAAAAGCCTTTTTGTTTATTTATTTATTTATTTTTTTTTTGTCTATCATCAAATGAATTGTGCATGGCTTTAGTTGTCTAACCAAATAGTTAAAAAAAAAAAACAGTTATAGAATTCCTATCTATCTAGTAAATGAAATTGTGTTATTGTGAAATTTCTCTGTGCATGGTTGGTGTGACTAACCATGAAGATATTATTTTTAAATGAATAATAGTTGCGTTTCGTATGCGAATTTGTTCAATTAATATTTGATTTCGGTCCTCTTTATAATTTTTCTATTTTATTAATTGTACAAAATAAATGACGAGGAAGATAAATCTATGGACAAGTAACATAAGTAACGTTTAATAGAATAGAGTTACAAAAATTATAACAGGAAATCGAGCTCCACGAAGAGACGATTAAATCGATGTTGGGCATTGATAAATTCCTGTAGAAGACGAAATAGGATGAAAGCAATCCCTCTTGAATTCACGTCAAATGATTCCTGGTTTTCGCACCACTCAACAACAACAATCTGTACTACATATACGTAGAAGAATGTTTTCATTTATAAACAACTCATATACATATATATATCAGACCTGTGATCATAATATAAAACTTTTTATAATTTTTTATAGTTATATTTGATATAAAAAAGTTATACTGTAGATTGTATAATATATATAGCACAGTTATACTTTAATTTTTTATTATATTATAATAAAATACGATATTTTCGCGCGTTATTTCAATATATTGATAATTTATTAGATTATTACTGTTACAATTAGTTGTACTTATAAAGATAGATAATGTTCAAATAATTGCACTTTATTTTATTCGTGTTAAATAAAATACAATTTAGAATTTTGTAAATAGAGTATTCACATACGATTAGTATATTAATTTTATTCTTTAGTAATTAGAGAGAAAAAATTATGGTAAACATTAATAATATTCAGAAATATTAGTTAAAATATTTGATAAATCATAAGTCATTTCAGAATCATTGAAATATCAGGGAAAAGAAGAAGAAGAGGAGGAGGAGGAGGATGAAGTATCTTTTTTGTATCATACCAACGACTTGCCATTTGATTCAGTCATAATAATCATTTGCTAAATATCAATTAGAATCAATGAATTGCTGTTGCTAATGCAATTTTTTGGTATGTTTTATTTTTGGTATCCTGTGCAGGCCTGTGCATGCCATCGCCGACCTTGCGAGGTGTAAGTACTCCCAGTAGAAAGTAACCGAAATTGCTATATTTGTTTATCACGCTAAAAAGCAAGCTAAACGCTTATAAAGCAGTGTGCAATGTGTAATGTTGTTGCATTTCTTAATTGGATTTTTGTCTATTTTTCGACTACCTTGAAACACAGTGTAACCCCGTGTTGATTTATCATTTTATTTGTGTGCACCATCAAATGCTTATATAAACACAGAACAATTCCGAGCACACTTTATTTTATCATAAGGATTATTACTTCTGTCGGCACAATATATTTGATGTTATACGCGTTCTTCTCAGCATATCAAACAATTTTAATTAAAATTTATGCACTTTTTTTTTCTATACACGGCATGTTTAATGAAAACATATAATCTTTTGTATTTTTTTCTAAAGCTGCTATACATATATGATATGGGGAAAATAAAGAACAAATGATATTAAGGTGGTCCCCATTAATTTGTAGATAAAATATGAAATCTAATACGCGAGAAAACGATACAAATGTTACGCGTTATTCTTTTTTCGGTTTTTGTACAATGATTTTGATATTACAGTTACAATATTTCTATACTTAGATTATAGAAAAAAAAACAATATATGAAAGACAATGAGCGAAGAATAATCCTTGAAATATTTGTGTGAGAGCAGAATTAAAGAATTAAAAATAATTATTAGAATTAGATAACGTGGCATCATCAAATTATTGATGTTGGTCCAGAAGGAACAAACAAAATAAAAAAATAAACCAAGTAAATTATAATAGAGAAACAGGGAAAAAAAGAAATTGTTGAATGACCCCCCGGCTTTGCAGATTGACGGAGACGGCACGGCTTCTGAAAAACGTTAAAAGTGTTTTCACCAGGCGATCTAACGCCACTTCCAGGGCAAATGTCGAGGTGGAACTATCACGTAAGTTTATGATTTTTACAGGCTGCCAAAGTTGGATTATTTTACTTCATTTCGTTATGGATCCTTCGTTTAATTAAGGATCGTGATTATCTTTCGCATTGTAATTATAAAACAATTGCAATTAATTATAATCACATGCAAAAAAGAAATAAGAAAGAAAACGTTGCTATCCATTTATAATACTATAATATATCCTCAACTTCAGCTAACTACAATGAAAACAAAACAAAAGCAAAGTAAATTCATTATAAAATATATATTTTTTGTTTCTAATATTGTGCACATACTAAACGTATTTATCATTCGTGTTTATCGAGCACACGCTTAGAGGAATAATAACTCACCTGCTTTAGCTAAACCAACGCGTTATTTTATCTTTCTCTTTCTTTCTTTTTATTATTATTATTATTATTACAATTTTTCAAAGCACGTTTATTAGCAAATATTTCTCAACTTTTATAAATTTCTTGTTTTTTTTTTTTAAATTTTCTGTACATATAAATATGTAACTTTTGTATATATATTAAATATAATATATTTAATAAGAGAAGAAAAAACCAAAATTGATAGGATACTGATTTTTCACTTCGTACACGATATATGGAATTGCATACACCCCACGTATGGGGTGTGCAAAATTACAAAACAAAAATCAGTCTCCTTTCAACTTGGTAGTTCACCCTGTTGCAAATTAGATAGCACAGATTGCATTAATATTTGCATTAATTTAATACTACCAATTAGATATTATATTTCAATCTGTATTTATCATTTCTATATTTTCTCTTATAAATTCAATAATAATAATAATAAACAAAACAACGAGAATATATTTGCTTTTATCTGGCTAATTAAATTCAAATATAACTAAAGCTTGTATTTTATTATTTTAATAGTATTTTTTGTCTCTTGATTCTTTACTAATAATAATATTAAAAATATTAAAGTTGTAAGAGAAGAAAAAAGAAGAAGAAAAGAAGAAGAAACTTGTATTATTGTTTTTAACAATTAAGTTGATCACCGCTTGCCGAGCGGCAGGGGTGTTTGTGTGCGTGCACTGTTAATAATAATTAATAAATTATTTCTATATACGACAGAGATTAATAGTTTGCGTAATATGTTATTGCGCATGCTGCGTGATGCACAGATGGATTCGCATTCTCTCAAGAGGAAGGAGGATCAGTGACACAAACGGATGTGATCAGAGCTTATGATACAAATCTTCCAAAACCAGGCGGCATGTAATCTTAATGTGTAATAATTTAACAACAACAAGAAAAATAGTAAAAATCATCCGACTATATTATACTTTTATTTTTTTTATTTCTAACAATAAGTCGGCCCAAAAGTATTTCACGAGAAAGAGAGAGAGAGAGAGAGAGAAAGAGAGAGAGAAAGAGAGAGAGAGAGAGAGAAAGAGAGAGAGTGAATTAATATAATATAATATATATAGATAGAACAAATTCTCAAAGTGTGCCATTTCTACGTTAAAACAAAGCCCGTCGTTTATGCATTTTATGCACCAATTTATTATTCGATCCTTTTTCAATCTATTATTATACGATATAATTTGAAGAAAAATAAAAAGAAAATTAGGGATGATGATGATGATGTTTCTATACAAATCGATCTTTTTAATTTTTAACGATACTTATTAGAGAAAATAAAAAAACAAAAAACAAAACACTATACAAGTATAACGAATTTCATTAGATAAAACACTTTAAATTGTCTTTCTGAAAAGTCTAAAAATATTCTAAATTATATACATGATATATATAAAATAATAAAGAAGAATATAGAAAAGGAAAGTAAATAAAAAAAAATTAAAAAATACAATTAAAATATATATATAAAATATATAGAAAGAGAAAGAGAGAGAGAGAGGGAGAAAGAGAAAGAGAGAAAGAGAGAAAAGAAGAAAGAAATAAACTTTGATATATATAACAAGTATTTTAAATATTTTAGAATTTGTTTTTGAAATATTCTATAAGAAAAA